AGAGACAGGAGAAATGACGATGTCAGGAAAGAAGCTGGGACGGAACCAGTACTAGACTACATCAGAAGACAACAGATGAAATGGTTCGGACATGCGTCAAGACTTCCACAAGACAGTGCACAAAAGACAGCCCTGTCACTCAGATATAATGGAAGCAGCTTAGATGTCGACCACACAAGCGATGGATAGATGGAATATCTGATGCCGTAAACACCAGCTAAAGTCCTCTGATAATTGCAATCGTGAACGAACGCTGTAGTTTGACAGTGAACTAACGGCCCGTACTGCGCCTGGCAAAGTACAAATCTTTTTTTAAAGCCTTTTTATTCTTTTCAATTATTAGCTTTCAAAAAATGGGGAGGGGGAAGGGATGAGGGGAAGGGGTAAAGGGAAGGGGTGAAGGGAAGGGGATGAGGGGAAGTGGTGAGGGGAAGGGGTGAGGGGAACGGGTGAGGGGAAGGGGTCAAGGGAAGAGGATGAGGGGAAGGAGGTGTCTGAGGATGAACGGTCAAACAGTTGCCACAAACGGTGCAGGTTATAATTCTTACTGAGGTTTGATTTGGTAGTTTTGCTTTGGATTGTTTGTTACAGTGTGTTTGTTAGTTCTTACTGAGAAATATTTCCATCCCCTTAACCAGGACTGGACATCAAACACCAAGTGCCGATTGGTCTATACAAATATAGACCTAGTCATATATTCCCAACACGCCTAAAAGCGTAAAAAAGCTTGGAAAGGGGACTGGAACCCAGGTTTCACAATCACAGCCCGATGTTCTATCTGCTCGATGTATCACACAGGGGTCAAGCTTAATGATGCAAAGCAAGGGGTCAGGCTGATCCCTCTAACGATCCCTTCAAGTGTCTTTGGAAATTCTGGGAAGAATAGAGTGTTCAATGCTGAGAGATTCTATTATTCTGGTACGATAAGTATGCGCAAGCTACTTAGACATGTGTCAACGTTAAATCTGCGGTACACTGGTGGTCGAATTGCGCATGACACATCCAGTGAGCTGTGAGCTCTTTCAGTTCCGGAAAGTGTTGTATTCAACAGTGTCTGCATTACAAGTTGTCTGTCCTAGAGCGAGAATGTTTTGGTCTCATAGAGTTTTGGAAGATAAGATCTTATAAGGCTACTAGAGTTAACATAACATAAGAATGGGGTAGGAACAGTACAGAAATGTGTACCATATATCGTGTCACCAATCAACGTATGGTTAGCTCTTTCCAGGCGCAGTAATATTTAAGCTAAACTTAACGAGAGTGAAGCCCTGTCATCTTCTTCTTCCTTCCTTTTTCATTTCTTTGTCTTCATTTCTTTGTCCTCACTTCCTTTTTTCTCCATTCTTCCCTCATTATTCCTCATTTCTTTCTTTTTTCATTCTTTCTTTTCTTCTTCTTCGTCTTCTTCTTCTTCTTCTTCTTCTTCCTCTTCTTTTTCTTCTTCTTCTTCTTCTTCTTCTTCTTCTTCTTCTTCTTCCTCTTCTTCTTCTTGTTCTTGTTCTTGTTCTTCTTCTTCTTCTTCTTCTTCTTCTTCTTCTTCATCTTTTTTTTTCTTTTTCTTCTTCTTCTTCGTCTTCTTCTTCTTCTTCTTCTTCTTCTTCTTCTTCTTCTTCTTCTTCTTCTTCTTCTTCTTCTTCTTCTTCTTCTTCTAACTCTGCCGCTGATGAAATCTGTGCACTGTTCATGACAATTAAATAAACTATATGCAAGAGGCAGCCAATCTTTGCAAAACTGGATATTAGTTACATATAAGTCTCTTCATTGAAAGCTACAAATCAGACAAGAAGAGAAGAGAGGAGGCACGAAAAGTGGGAGGGAGTCAATAGAAGAGAAGAGACTAGAGGAGAGACGTAGTGTGGGACAGAGTAATGAGAAGAGAGGAGGGACGTAGAGTGGGTAGGAGTGAAGAGAAGAGTCGAGAGGAGGGACGTAGAGTGGAAAAGAGTGAAGAGAAGAGTAGAGAGGAGGGACGTAGAGTATAAAGAAATCAACAGAAAAGAAGAGCAAAGAGAAGGGAACGTAGAGTGGGAAAGAGTAAAGAGAAGAGAGGAGGGACGTAGAGTGGGAAGGAGTGAAGAGAAAAGAAGAGAAGGACGTAGAGTGGGAAGGGGTAAAGAGAGGAAGAGTGAAGAGAGGAAAAAAAGAGCAGGGACTAGAGTAGGAAGGAGTGAAGAGAATAAAACAGAAAAGAAGAGAGGAGGGATGCAGAGTGGGAAGGAGTGAAGAGAAGAAAAGAGAGGACAAGAGAAGTGAAGTGATCAACACAGAGAGAGAGAGAGAGAGAGAGAGAGAGAGAGAGAGAGAGAGCAAGAAAGATAAAGAAGTGAAGAAAAGGAAAAATATTATAAGAGAAAAGAAGAGAATATAAGAGAATAAATTAGAAGAGAACATAAAATATGAGAAGAAAAGAGAGTATAAGAGAGGAGAAGAAAATATAATATATGAGAAAAAGATATAACAGAAAGGAATATAATAGAAGAGAGTAGAAGAGAATAGAAGATCGCAGAAGAGAATATAAAAGAGTAGAAGAGAACATAAGAGAGTAGAAGAGAATACAAGAAAGGAGAAGACAACATAAGAGAGAAAAACATAAGAGGATATATGAGAGTAGAAGAAAACAGAAAAAAGATACAAGAACATAAAAGAAGAGAATATAATAGAAAAAAAATATAAGAGAAGATAATATAATATAAGAGAAGAGATCAAAAGAGAGGAGTAGAGAATATTAGAGAAAAGAAAATAAGAGATTAGATTATAAGAGTAGAAAAAAAAAGAGAAATGAATATAAGAGGTGAGAATATAAGAGATACAAATATAAGAGATAAGAATATAAGAGAAGACAATATAGGAGAGCACTAAATAAGAGAACAAACATAAGAGAAGACAATTTAAGATGCAAGAGAAGAGAAAAAAGAATATAATAAAAAAATTTAAAAAAGGAGAGAATACTAGAAAAAAGAACATATGAGAAATCAGGATAAGCGAATAAAAGAGAAGAGAAGAAAAGAGAATAGAAGAAAAGAGAAAATTACATACAAGAAGAGAATATAATAGAATTTAAAAAAAGGAGAAGAGAGAAGCAAATAGATGAGAATATAAAAGAAGAGAAAAAAAAAGTATATAATATGAGATAATATAATAACAGAGAACATAATTTAAGAGAAGAGATTATAAAAGATGAGACGAGAACATAGGAAGAGAATATAAGAGTAGAGAAATTGAGAAGAGAATGTAAGAGAAGAGAATATAAGAGAAGAGAGGCAAATGCAAGAGAGGAAAACAAAAAAAATAGAAGAGAATAAAACAAACGAGAATATAAGAAAAGAAAAAATATATAAAAGAAGAGTATCAGAAAAGAGAAGAGATGAGAATATAAGAAGAAAGAAGAGAATATAAGAGAAGAGAAGGGAAGGGAAGAGAATATAAGAGAAGTGAAGGGAAGGAAGAGAATATAAGAGAAGGGAAGAGAATATAAGAGCAGAGTTATGAGAAGAGGTTATAAAAGAAGATACAGTTTTTTGATGAAGCACTGCAGCACTAGTTCTCTTGTAAGAACGTTTTACAGATTTGGACAACATAATCTACCCAGTCTCTATTCAATATATTTTCCTTTCTGTTTGGTCTAACGCATCAACACCCACCAAGTATCAGTAACAGTTTGCAAGCTCTTCTTAGGGGAGTCATGACGTCTGGAAAGTTCATGAACCCATCCTACAGACAAATGAACCCATCCTACAGACAATCATTACAGTGTCAATATCGACATGTTCCGTTTGACCCAAGCCATGGCTCAAAGTGCTACTTACTGAGATTAACCGATTCACACAAAGTAATACTAAAATGGTAATTTTTAACTGGGTAAACTTCTTGAAGGAAGCCGCTGTGGTGTAGTGGCTAGTCGCTCGCCTGCCGATTAGAAAGTTGTGGGTTCAGATTCTGACGAAGCCGGACTTTTTCCAAAATTACCATAGCACCCAAGTCGACATAGCTTTATCACCATCATCATTTTCTGTGTAGGTCAGGAAATAGGCATCTAGCACATTGTGTTATGGTTTACAGCTAAGTTGATATCAGCAAATGAAATAAGTCGCCGTTTACACAATCAGTGGACACTGTTCCCCCCCCCCCCCCCCACCACCTGTGGCATGGCACTGTTGGTATTATTGAATATGACGACGACGATGGGGAAGAGTAGAACAGAAGGTACCACAACAGCAATCCAACTAAGAGTACATAACACACATCAAGTATTACTTAGGACAGCGGTTCTCAGTCTATGGGTCAAGAACCCCTTTTGTTTTTGGTTGAACGACTCATTCACATGGGTTACCAAAGATCCTCGCAAAACAAATATTGATTGAAGTTAAGAAGTAGCGACGAAAATAATTGTATGGTTGGAGGACGCCACAACATTTGGAAATGTATTAAAGGGTCGCCACAACATTTGGAAATGTATTAAAGGGTCGCCACAACATTTGGAAATGTATTAAAGGGTCGCCACAACATTTGGAAATGTATCAAAGTGTTGCCGCATTAGGAAGGTTAAGAACTACCGACTGAGGGTTTCATTACATTATTTAACAGTTTTAACAGTGAAAATGGCTAGGTAAAGACTGATAAAGCTAACGATGGCGAGGAGCAGGAGGGGGAGCAGGAGGGGAAGGAGCAGGAGGGGGAGCAGGAGGGGAAGGAGCAGGAGGGGGAGCAGGAGGGGAAGGAGCAGGAGGGGGAGCAGGAGGGGAAGGAGCAGGAGGGGGAGCAGGAGGTGAAGGAGCAGGAGGGGGAGCAGGAGGGGAAGGAGCAGGAGGGGGAGCAGGAGGGGGAGCAGGAGGGGAAGGAGCAGGAGGGGGAGCAGGAGGGGAGCAGGAGGGGAAGGAGCAGGAGGGGAGCAGGAGGGGAAGGAGCAGGAGGGGGAGCAGGAGGAGGAATTAAGGGTGCACTGTAGACAAATATAAGAAGAAAATCAAAGGAAAGGTAAATAAATTGCAAGGGTTACTTACTGTCTCATGACGTCATTAAGCTGTTCCTCCAGCTGCCCAACTCGAAGCTGCAGTCGGGATTTCTCTTTGTTGGTATCATCAATCAACTTCCGAGCTTCGGTGAGTTCCGTCTCATACATCAGCTTAACCTTACTGGTCTCCTTACCCCAGTGCGATCTCAACTGCTCCAGCTCAGAGGCCAGCTTCTTGTTCTGCGCTTCCAGGAAACGAACCTTCTCGATGTAGTTGGCGAATCTTTCGTTGAGGTCTTGCAGGTCTTTCTTCTCCTTCTCGCGGGTGCTCTTGAAGCTGATCACCCCGGTGGTGGCAACACTGGCGCTGCCAATGGGGTTGAACATGGAAGATATCTCCACGGAGCGTGTGGTGCGCATGGGGGAAGTCGGCAGTACAGTTCTGGTGATCGATGTCTGCCTCGGGGTGATGCTGGACCGGTAGTAGCCGATGTCGTCATCGTCGATGCCAGAATTGCCAAAACCGCCACTGCTGAGACTGCTGGATGTGGTGATCACCGTTCGCTTCTCGGTCACAGAGGTGTTTGCTGGGATACTGGTGCTCGATCGAACGAAAGATTGCGACATGATGGCTGATATCTCCGGATCTTTCACGCGAACTATATTTAGACAGTTCTTGTTGAGTGTAATTATGTTTGATTGTCTGGCATTCAACAGCTAGGCCGAGTGTCCGGACAGTTAATTATGAGTTCTTTCAAAAATTTTAAAAACAAAACTCAAATTAACGAAAATTAAATTACTAAGAAAGGAAAAACACGTTGTGTCGCACGGTTAAATAAAGTTGACTACTTATATAGAGTAATATTACCACACCACTATATTTCTTACACATGAAAAGTATATGATAATATTATGAGCGCTATTTAAAGGTAAATGCTCACGAAATCAGGCGATTCAACTGCGGTAATAGCCGAAATTAGGCGAAAAGTAACCAGGCGATTTAACTGCGGTAATAGCCGAAATTAAGCGAAAAGTAACCAGGCGATATAACAGCGGTAACAGCCGAAATTAAGCAAAAAGTAACCAGACGATTTAACTGCGGTAACAGCCAAAATTAAGCGAAAAGTAACCAGGCGATTTAACAGCGGTAACAGCCGAAATTAAGCGAAAAGTAACCAAGCGATTTAACTGCGGTAACAGCCGAAATTAAGCGAAAAGTAACCAGGCGAGCAAGAAAATATTTATACAAAGTACACTATGGATACAGTGTACTGTTGCTTTAGCGCGCCGTTTCTTGTAGCATGTTACACATGTAACATATAATAAAATAAAGTAAACGATACTAAAAAGTATAATCTTATGACACATCGCGGTCCTTAACACATGAAACATCATAAAAAGTTAGTAACCTGCCCAGTTAAAAAAAAAAAAACAAAAAGTGCTGTCTGCGCAATGAAGAGAAGTAGAAAGCAGAAAGGCTACAGTATATCCAGGGCTGCTTTGAGGAAAAGTAAAGTAAAAAAAAAAAAAGTAAAGGACCCTTTCCACGCCTTTAGGCGTATAGGGCATATAGGGCTAGACCTATATTTTTATAGACCAAGGGCACAAGATGGGTGCCTGGATGTCAGCATCACGCCGTGCCGCCTCTATCTTCCCGGGATTGCACCCGGTACCCACTCAAGGCTGGGTCGACCTGGGAGCCAAGGTCATTTTTGAAGAAAAGTCCGTCTCTACCAGGCAGCGAACCCACGACCTTCCGATTCGCGGCGCGCGTCTAGCCGCTCTGCCACGGCGACTCCCGCTTAGAGGAACATGACCGCAAGTTCTTCGATCGTCAGATTCTTATGGCGAAAAAAAGAGCAAACATGTCGTACAGAGGCAACTAATTAGAAGTTTGCTGAAAGCCGATGTGTTGGGTCAAATGGCGCAAATATCGCAGCCTGGATGTAAAACACAACATAAAGTGCCAATCTATCGTTTAAAGGTGATACAGAATAATAATAAAAATACTAATAATAATAATTATAATCGGAAGAAGAAGAAGAAGAAAAAGAGGAGGAGGAGGAGGAGAAGAAGAAGAAGAAGAAGAAGAAGAAGAAGAAGAAGAAGAAGAAGAAGAAAAAGAAGAAGAAAAAAAAGAAGAAGAAGAAAAAGAGGAGGAAGAAGACAGACAGACAGACAGACAGAAAGACAGACAGACAGAAAGACAGACAGACAGACAGACAGACAGACAGACAGACAGACAGACAGACAGACAGACAGACAGACAGACAGACAGACAGACAGAAGAAGAAGAAGCAGAAGAAGACAGACAGACAGACAGGAGAAGAAGAAGAAATCCATTAATTTTAACAGTAAATTATTAAAGAAACGTTAACAAATAGTTAATCCTACGTGACCGACCTTCACAGCCTTCAACTGAGTTCAGCTAGAATTCCGTTCTACATTACTGACACCCAGAATAGTTAGTGCTTCCTAGTTCTTGATCACACTTTCAATAAGACAGAATTATTGCATAGACTGTGACACAAACTACACATTCTCAGATGAATCGTCATCCCCGTGTCGTGTACATAAGTTACCTGTGTAGTTAGAGCAGAAACGGAATCTGGGTCAGCACAGGTGACAGCTTGACGCAATAGTTCCCAAACTGTGCAGGTTGTGTGTCTTGGTATACCGCTAAAGGTGACTAATGTGGCTTGGTGCACCACCTGGGGGTGACCAGTATGCCTTAGTGCACCGCCTGGAGGTGATCAGTGTGCCTTGATGCATGACATAAAGGTGACCAGTGTGCTTTGATACATTGCATAAACGCCACCAGTATGGCTTACTGTACCACCATAATGTAACCAGTGTGGGTTGATGCACCCTATAAAGGTGACCAGTCAGGCTTGTGCACCACATAAAGGTGACCAGGATGGCTTAGTGCACCGCATGAGGGTGACCAGTGTGCCTTGATGCACCACATAAAGGTGACCAGTGTGCCTTGATGCACCACATAAAGGTAACCAGTGTGCCTTGATGCACCACATAAAGGTGACCAGTGTGTCTTGATGCACCACATAAAGGTGACCAGTTTAGCTTGTGCACCACATAAAGGTGACCAGTTTAGCTTGTGCACCACATAAAGGTGACCAGTTTAGCTTGTGCACCACATAAATTCGACCAGTTTAGCTTGTGCACCACATAAAGATGACCAGTTTAGCTTGTGCACCACATAAAGGTGACAAGTTTAGCTTGTGCACCACATAAAGGTGACCAGTTTTAGCTTGTGCACCACATAAAGGTGACCAGTCAAGCTTGTGCACCACCAGGTGACCAGTTTAGCTTGTGCACCACACAAAGGTGACCAGTTTAGCTTGTGCACCACATAAAGGTGACCAGTCTAGCTTGTGCACCACATAAAGGTGACCAGTCTAGCTTGTGCACCACCAGGTGACCAGAATGCCTTGATGCACCGCATAAAGGTGACCAGAATGCCTTGATGCACCGCATAAAGGTGACCAGTCTAGCTTGTGCACCACATAAAGGTGACCAGTCTAGCTTGTGCACCACCAGGTGACCAGTCTAGCTTGTGCACCACCAGGTGACCAGTCTAGCTTGTGCACCACCAGGTGGCCAGTCTAGCATGTGCACCACCAGGTGACCAGAATGCCTTGATGCACCACATAAAGGTGACCAGTCTAGCTTGTGCACCACATAATGGTGACCAGTCTAGCTTGTGCACCACCAGGTGATCAGAATGCCTTGATGCACCACATAAAGGTGACCAGTCTAGCTTGTGCACCACACAAAGGTGACCAGTCTAGCTTGTGCACCACCAGGTGACCAGAATGCCTTGATGCACCGCATAAAGGTGACCAGAATGCCTTGATGCACCGCATAAAGGTGACCAGAATGCCTTGATGCACCGCATAAAGGTGACCAGAATGCCTAGAAGCACCACATAAAGGTGACCAGAATGCCTAGATGCACCACATAAAGGTGACCAGAATGCCTAGATGCACCGCATAAAGGTGACTAGCATGACTTAGTGCACGGCTTGGAGGTGTTCAGCGTGCATTGGTTCTGATAGCTGTCAACTATGTTCAGGCGTCTGATGGTGTTAGTGAAAAGCACAACAAAATTCAACTGCAACAAATCATAACATCGTAACCGGGGAAAATAATTCTATATTAAAATAAATACAAATTTAATTACGAACAAAGTTTGGGAACCGCTGGCCGCCTAGTTGGCAGTGCTACCAATACTGGGTTTTTTACCCCCAAGATCTGGGTTTCTAATCGGACGCCTTGGGTTCACATTTAGAATCTAGTGGATATAAAAGTGGGTGAATGTTTCGTTTCGTAACTATAACATTTGCACTTTGTATTATTCTGGGGTTTTTATTATCTCTGCTTATGTATTGAGGAAGAAGGGAGAAAGGAGAGGGGACGGGGGGTTGCTCAGCTTGAGATTTTAAATGAAATCTCATTGGCAGCCCTGCTAGTCGGTGCCCTTGCATTGGAAGTCGTTGGAGTATAACCGCTGCTTGATCCTTCTGTTTTCGTGTGCACATTTGTATGTTTTCTTTTGGGTCGTTCACAAAGAAGCCACCAGATTTATTACCACAACTCGCATTTTAAGCACGGATGGCTAGGTTGTGAGAGGTGCTGATTCACAGCCGGATAAGGAAACATGGACGATTTAGCCATGTTTATGATACAGAGGAGCAGGGTGTGGAACGATCAAGAACGCTTGGCTGTCATGTGGAAGACCGAGATTCGAATCCTCGGTACGATTGTGGATATTTTTCTATCAAGAGCGAAACAACATTTTTATCATGCACTGTGGTGTCAACACTAGCCGCCTCGAGGATAATTGTTTCTAGACATCGGCATCTGTGGCTTGGGCGTTGCGAACGTGCTTTATAATTCCGAGGTACCCGGTTCGATTCCATAGGCAGGCGATTTGGCACAAAACCACTTGGCGTTGATTTCGACAATGGTATGTAGAGCTAACCGTTTAGTAAGTAAATGGAAACGACAGAACGTCTACAAAAAATATCCAGCCAACAAATTCTAGGGCTGGTATTGCAACGTCGTGTAAAAGATATGTTTTCCGGGCAGCAACTAACCCACCACCAGCTCACCCACCACCCTCCGTTTATGCTCAGCCGTTTGCAATAACTGGCGTGTACAATAACTGCTCACGTGTGCAATAACTGCTCACTGTGTACAATAACTGCTCACGGTGTGCAATAACTGCTCACCGTGTACAATAACTGCTCACCGTTTACAATAACTGCTCAGCGTGTACAATAACTGCTCACCGTGTACAATAACTGGTCACCGTTTACAATAACTGCTCAGTGTGTACAATAACTGCTCACCGTGTACAATAACTGCTCACCGTGTACAATAACTGCTCACCGTGTACAATAACTGCTCACCGTGTACAATAACTGCTCAGCGTGTACAATAACTGCTCACCGTGTACAATAACTGCTCACCGTGTACAATAACTGCTCAGCGTGTACAATAACTGCTCACCGTGTACAATAACTGCTCACCGTGTACAATAACTGCTCAGTGTGTACAATAACTGCTCAGCGTGTACAATAACTGCTCACCGTGTACAATAACTGC